CTCATCTCCAGGCTTTTTATTTTATGGTTCTGTTTTAAAACATTAGGTTATCAAAATATACGAATATGTACTTTTCACCTGGAAAAACTTCAAGGTACACAATTGGACCTAAAACCACTGTTGTACCTTTGAGGGAACATTTACATTGTTTGTACCTTGATGAATGAAAAATGAACCTTTATTTCTAACAGTGCACAGTAGTTGGTATAGAGTAGTGGGTAACACACACTTATCCGACATGTAAAAAATGTTGGATAAGAGCGTCTGTCAAATTCCATAAACATAAATGTAACCCTTCACAGCATGACTTGACCCGGCATCCTTCAAAATGCAAGGTACACAAGCATCAAGACTCTTCTCCCTCCTGGCACCAAAGTGGTGGACTGAACTTCCACTGGCTGTCTGAACAGCAGAATCCCTTGTGGTCTTTAAAAACGCAAACTGAAGACCCATCTCTTTTTGAAGCACTTCAGCAAGCATTAATCTATCACCTATTGAAATGCATTGTATTGCCCTTATGCTATGTCTTAATTCTGCTTCTTTCTCTGCACTAGCTTTTGATTGTGGTAATATCTTAGCTAGAGGGTAGTTTGGCCTCTAACCCATTTTTACTAGCTAGGATATATTCTCCAAGTTGACAACAAAGTACTTTTGTAAGTCGCTCTGAATAAGAGCGTCTGCTAAATGCCTATAAATGTAAACATAAGCATAAATATAAAAAAAACCTTCGTCAGCAAGTTTCTCTACTGTTAACCACTTCACATCAAACCACTCAGAATGACTTTGTTTACATCTCAACGACTGAATTATGCAGAAACTTTGAAAAATCAGAGGAACTCTCCTTTAACAAGATCCTTGTGGGCAAACTGTTTACTCCAACGCCTCAACTGCAAAAAGCAGAAAGTTATAAATATGTGATGAGATCTCAAAACACCCTTATGTAAAACAGCACTTTACCAGCACACAGCACGTTAACTTGCGGTGTCCGTGTTAAGAACAAGTGTATAAATAAATGATGAGATATAATTCTGCCTCTCTGGCAAGAATGCGCACGCACAGGACTGTGCGCTAACATCGCTCGCGGCATTATCTGTCGGCTCATATAAATATTCATGAGGTCTTTTAGCATAACCAAGCATGCAAATGGCTCCTACGCTGTGCCTCTCTGCTCCTCCAGACACTGTGTCTTAACCAGTAGTCGGGCATGTGAACAGAATCATTACGCAAAGTGCCAAACCCAGCTCAGTCAATGCCCAGGGTTGCCAGGTAACACAGTATAAATCCCCTGCTGTGTGAAATGCCACAGCCAAGCATTCAATAGAGCTTTATTCTCTAGTCCGGTCAGCAGGCTCAGAGCAGTCCTCCTGTCCAGGAGGAGGCGCTGTGTGATCTGTCCTTACCGCAGGCTGCTGCTGCTGCTGGAGGTGTCTGATGGTGCTTTGGGCCTGTTCCAGCTGCGCACTGGCCTCCTCACTCTGTTGTTTGACCGTGGCCAGCTCCCGCTTGACCAGGTAATTCTCCTCCGCCTCCTGCGCTCGCGTCACCTGACCCTGACCCAACCAATCATGGACAACAGGTGGGATGAACCAAGGAGGGAGCGGTGTGAGGGAGGAGATGCAGCAACGGGGGGAAAAATAAAGCTAGACGCGAACGGCCTCGAGTGCCAACATGCTGTTAGCAGCTTTTTTTTTGTGATTGGGTTAGAAATTTCACTTTATATTGATTTCTACAAATACAGGGCCAAGTGATTGTCAAAGGGAGTAGGTTTCATTAGTCACCAAAATCAAAAGCCTGCATTAAAATGCACATTAATGCTTTATTATCTCGAATCTACAACGAGCATGTCTTAATTGGTTAATATAATCAACTAAAAGTAAAATTTATAGTGATCTCAAGCATGCAAAGCCAAAAGAGCAATACAGAAAAACTTAAAGGGCCCATATGCTACATTTTTCTTGTATTTTATTGTTTTCCCAGAGGTCCACTTAGGATGCTTTTGTGGGTTTATGTACCAAAAATATACTTCATTTATACATGACCACTTTCCAACCTCTCTTTATCCCTTGTGCTGCATTTACAGCATGATGAACTAAAATGCTTACCTCACTGACTGTTGGCTTCTTTGTGGCCATGTCCCTAAATACGAACAAGCTCACCTGGCCAAGCCAAGTACAAGGCTAGTTCAGTGCTCCAATAGTCTTAATATTCTTTGTAAACTAATGTAAACTAATGTAACAATCTCCTGCTCATTTCTCCCACTCTTATCAATATTAATTTCAAAGAGTAGCTTTAATGCTGACGTATGTGTGACAATAACAATCTAAAACTCGCTTTTCATTTGTATGAAGTTAAGCTTTTCCTAACTTTTTAATCACTCTCTCTACATGGTTCGTTCTCCTGCCGATCCCACAATTCCTAATGCACAACTGCCGCTCACCAGAAATGAATGAGAGGCGAAACAAAAGTTGTCTGCTTCGCTGTAATGTAAATGCAGCATTAGAATTAAAGGGGCTGTTTTTGTTACTGTGCCTTTAAGACTGACATACGTAAATTATGTCTGTTCTGATTGGCTACCCTGTATTGTACCTTATTCAAAAAGCAGCTCGAGTCACTCCTTATCACTTCAGTGTTAATAGATGGAGTTTAATTGCTGTAGGCTGAATAGGTGGATGTATGTAAATGCCTTTTCATTTTGCGACATCACAAATGTACTAATTTGGGAGTGAATGACGAATTCTGAAATGTGAACAATTCACATACTACAAATTCTTTTATTTAAAAAAAAGTAAGAAAACCTACATTTTTCTCAATATGGGCCCTTCAAAGGAAGATATATAGTTCTGTTTATGTGGACCTGCGTCAGCTGATTTGGCTGTTTTGGAATCATGCAGCTGCCTTTGTGTTTATTAATTTCTCGTGCAATAATCTCCAAAACATTCAAATCACTCCAGATATGTCCAAACAGGCGGAAAACATAAAAAAAAGAAAAAAGAAAACGTTGAAAATATCTATCCCTTTTAAAAGGAAGACAAGAACAGTGGCAGGGAAGAGAAGAGTGTAAAGATTATACCTGGATCAATCTATCTGCCAAGGAAGCACTTTCCTACAAACAGAGAAAATCCATAAAGGAAGGCATAGAGAAAGAAACCAAAGGATATTATAACATAGAAAAGTAAAAACAACAAAAGGTGATTTGTGGACAGAAAACCATGTTCTTTTTTCCCCCCATATTTTAGACTGCACTGTTTACAGAGAGTACAAAAACTTTATAAGAAAGAAGCATGAACACAATGTTTGTAAGAGCCCATTTAAATCAGTCTGAGTAAGGCAGGGCAAAAAAAGAACAGGGTTTGGAGTATGGATGTGGCGATATGGGTGTGTGACAGCATGACAGATGTGACAAAGCAAAACAGTGACCCTACAGTGAACCTTAGTGAAAGGGTGAAACCAGGCAAAGCAGAGAAGAGCCAGCAAGTAAGAAGAACAGAAACAGAGTGGCGACTCCCATAGATATGTACATCTATGGGCTATGCTTACACTGACATTATGGGTGCCATGCTCATTTATGACAGCTCAATCTATATAAGGGATTAGGCTAGATGTGGAGGGACGTGTTATGGGTTTTTGGTCAGCACTGGTTATCATGCATCTCATGCAGGAATTTCGAGGAAGGGCAAAAGGGAAGGGGATTTGAGGCGACGTGTTTCCTTCGTTATTCACAGAGCAGCACAAACGACTCAGTGCCACTCGTGTCATGCACAGCAACATGAGCATGTGCCGAGCGATCAGTGTCCCAGCATGCAACGCTGCAGTTTTAGTCGCCTGCTTGCTGCATTCTTGAACTGTGTCAGACTGTAGCTCATACATAACCAGCCAGGTTCCCTGCGCGGCCATACTCTTAGTGGTACTGAGCGGAGGAGCCTTTCATATCCGTCAATATGCCTGACAGACATGAGCAATAAGCCGTGTTTGACTTACCTGTTCCAAAAAAAAGACAATTCACACATGCAACAAATATCCCACAGAGTAAGTTAACCACTGATGAGCACATCAGGTAGACTGTTCTGATGCCCCAGTCGGTGAGTTTGTATGTTACTAGTAGTGCGGATGCACAGCCAAGTTAGTATATGTGAGCACTCTCTCAAAGACGAGTCATGAACCAGCACGAGATGAAAACACGTGTGATGTAATGGTGTGGAATGATGCGTTTGATTTGTATGGAATGGTTTGATGAATGGAGCTTGGCTTCACTTCTTATGTAAACCTGTCACTCACTTTCTCCAAGGTATCTATTCTCTGCTTCAGCAGCCTGTTCTCTGTGCGAAGTCTCTGCGAAAGAGAGGAGTGCAAACTAGATAAGAGTCAAAGATTTATAAAATCATTACATCATATAAAAATGTCTATCTTTATTACATCATACAGAAATGTCTATCTTTAGTTAAAATATGTTACGTTAAATGAATGAAAAAAAAAATCTAAATGTACAAAATTGTCCACTTACAGCATTCGTACTCAATTAGCCAACACATTTCTGGCGTCCAAATTTTGCTTCTATAGTTTAGAAGTGGATCTATGAGGCTAGCATTGCTAACAAACATTTCAAGTGAATCTTTTCCATGAATACATCCTTAAAACTGCTCTTGACCTGCACAAATCGCTAGCAGCTCTTCTTTAAGGTTGCACAGACTTGTCAACATGGTTTAGAGCACAGTAGGGCTTACTGTGAGATATAAAAATGAGCAAAACTTCACCATGTAGCTGAACGCTGGGAGCAGACATTTTAGACAATAGATGTAGTGCCGAATTCCGACTCCCCCTCTCATGCACACACAATTTAGTTTGCAGACTCTGTTGTTTGTATTTATAAAACACATATGCACAGTCTGAAAATTCAAGCTCAACAGTTATTTATAGATAGAAATGACAGACATCGTGAACATAATCTATGGTATCCATATGCCTGCATGACGTGCGTGCACGCGAAGGAGAGTCGGATTTTGCCGAACTGGAATTTGGCACAAGACCAGCACAAAACATCATCTGAAATGGCTGCTTCCAGTGGTTGGCCTTATATACTGCGGTCAGTTGTTTTTATACCGCAACCTTAAAGAAACGCAACCTTAAATGAAGACCTAGATGTGGTTTCAGAAAGTTGAGGAATGCTTTGAGGATGTATTTATGGAAAGGACTTGGGTGACTATTGACTTCTAGTATTTTTTTTTTTTAGTAACATTAGCCTTGTGGCTCCAGCTCTAAATTAAAGAAGCGAAAATTGACCAAGCATGTCTTGGCTAACGGACTATCTGGGGTAAGTGAAAACTGTAAATTTGATTTTTCACCAAACTATTCCTTTAACTATGATTACTGGTTAAAATCAGAGAAAAAATGTATTGTTCCTCTTGTAGCAAAACCCCCTATCTCCAAACCAGAAACTGTCTAGGTGAAGGAAAACCTGCTATGCTAACATAACAGAATTTTTTCCAAATAATTCTGAACCATTTATATTGATCCACTGGTCATGTATTATTCACAGAATGTAAATGGTACCTGGTCTAGAAACGTTGTGAGGTTGTGAAGTATATAACATACTACCTTTGACATACAAGTGTTTACATTTGTCCAACAAAAAACGTTGCGGTCTCACCTTTATTTCCACCTGCTCCTCCATCTCCTTGGTTTTTATAGTAGTGTATTCTTTTTCCAACCTGCAAAGGCATGACATAAAACTCTCAGACAAACGCCGCACATTCACAGCCATTTGTAGAAATCAGATTCAGATTCAATACGTTTTCTAGAGAGATTACCCACTTTTTCATCTTCTTGGCATTGTACTTGACTTGGTAAGCAACTTGGATAACTTTGTCTGGTCCGCTGTCCAGTTGGTGAGGAATGACCTTCTGAAAGTACTACAGGACAACAGAAGTGTGCAGACTTAAGACCTTTTCTACATTACGATTGGCTACCCATGAGCAAAAAGCTAGAGTGAGCAAGATGATAAGAGACATTTAATTTGACTAAATAAAAACTAAAACTTAACAACAAAGTAGGCTTTAAAGATAAACGCAAAAAAACAAACCTGTAACATGCCCTCCATGTCCAACTGGATGAGCTCTGCCTGATTCATCTGAAGGATGGCCAGGCCTACGCGGAACACTATCTCCAAACCCTGTAATCACACCAGCAGAGAAACATGCTCATTTAAAGAGCCTGCAATAAACCTACTCAACCAGCAGATGGCGCTCACTGTTTGCATTCTGACAGTGACTTCTGTCAACCTGTCATGGAATACAGCACAAAGCCTAAGAAAATACAAACGTGTTTAAGTGGGTGAGAGTGAATAGTATTATACAGCATATGAAACTAATTTTATATTACATATATTATTAATAACTACATATTTATCTACAACAACAGCTTACGACAAAAGTCACTAATTTGGATCTGTATTGCATAAGGATTTTCTCACCTCACACATGAAGATGTCGAAGATTCGTGTAGCAACAGGCAACGGAAAGGAGGTGAGAAAGATGGTGAGAAACCACGATGAGGCATACATGGAGGTGTGGAAACTCTGAGCCTGGAAATGCATGTGCAGCTCAGGCAGCTGCTCCTGATGGAAAATAAAGAACAAAGAGAAGACTCAGAGCAAAGAGTGAGAGCGCAGTAATCATTTTCCCTTTCATCTCTCAGGGAAACAGTGATATATAACTGCAACAAAATTTTGACTTCTTCAGAGGCAGGACTAGGAAGAACCATGCTGTATTTGGAGAAAGACGGACAGTGAGGAAATCAGAACTAAACACATGCCAACATAATAAATTACATGGTTAAACGCTGCCAAATTTTAGATCCAACCTATTGTTATACAACTCTGTTGTGTATACTCTCACATCCCACTCTACCATATTATACAGACTGTTTACAGTGTGGTCACCTTAGTATAATAATCACAAACTCTAATAAACAGCTATTAGATAGTCTAGTGCAGGCCTGTCCATCCCTACTCCAGCATCTACAAGCATCCAGCTCCAGGCTCAGGCACAGACAGACCCTACCGTTGGCTGGAGCCCCTGCCCTATTGCTCTCAGATTGTACAAGTGCCCTCCTGGTGGGCTTGTATAATAACTGGGTTTTGTATGGCCTTTGTCATTGTTCAAGAGCCGTTTTGTGAGGCGTGTGAACAGAGCTAGCGAGTTCCACTTGCTTCATCGCTCTTGGACTAGCCTCGTGGGGCCAGATCTTGTAACAAGAATGTTGTAACAACGTGGTCATTTGAACACCCAAACATAATGGCGGTAAGGATCACTAACATGGATTTATGCAACGCTCTGTGTAGTTTAATTAATGCCTTGAAAAAGGGAGACTGCAGGTTCAGTGCCCTGCTCTGTCAGGAACACTCTCATATCGGTATTCTTTTAGGCTCGCAGCCTATAATAGTCTCTGGGCGAGTTTCCTAACACTACATTTGCTTTCCTCTGTAACACAATTAGACTCTCTCTGGATTAAAGTGCATATATATCAATAATATGCTATAAATCAAATATCATTCACATACAGATAGGCACAATTATTTTTTTTTAATTTAAGCCCCTGAACCCCTAAAATGTCTGAACAGGCCTGGGCAGCTCCAACCATAATCTGGAGGTCCAGAGATGAGCGCAATTTGATTTCCTAAAACCTTGGTAGATAACTGCCAAGTTGAAACAGGTGTGCTTGAGCAGACAAATCACTAAACTGTGTTGGATTTACACCCTCCAGGACTGAAGATGGACATCCATGGGTTCTAAAGTTCTGCAGTGTGAGAGATCTGTAGCAGCAGGGGACAAAGCACTTACCTGGATCATACATTCAAACTGGTACATGCAGAGGCCCAGCTCAGCCATGCTGGGTTTGAACAGTTCTCTCAGACGGTAATCCTGCATCAGCTTCACAAACACACAGAACGCCTCCTCTTCCGGCATCTAACGCCACACAGATCCACCGTTAGAACATCTGTTACCAGCTGTCATATACTTCTTACAAAATAAACTGTTTTTAAAAACACTTACACTGCTAAGTCAATGTGTTTGTATATAGATTGTTTTACACATTTACAGGAATATACTGCATTTCAAAGAGACTGTTACAAACTCTCTTAACTTTAATTCAAATGGCGAAGACAACATTGTACATATCTAATTATACTCAGTTTATTTCATAATTACCTGCATGAGCAGCAGGCCAACAATGAAAGCGCTCCCCTGGCAGTAGCCGACTTCCCTGTCCACCAGGGAGTAAGCCTGTGACAACAGGAAGTAAGTTCTAATGAGTGTGTGAGTCGCACAGGGATACACATACACACAGCTTTAGAGGGGACAGAGTGCTTGACTCAGGGATTTTCAGGTCAAGGTGTAACTGCAGAGTGAACTGTTTTATATTAGGACTTTTGGCTGCACAGGCAGCTGTGTATTCACTGTAATCGTGGCTCATGCAGTTAAATAACCACATGAACTTGACAAGCCCATTATTGGGCCCCAAGAAAAGAAAAAGAAAAGGAATCCGCCTCTTTAAATCTGCCACAGAGGAGACAATTTCAGCGTTTATAACCAGAGCCTTCTGTGTACCGTGTTTTCTATCACTGTATAAAAGATGCAGGAAGCTTCCTTTATTGTTGGATACACAGAGTTTTAGAATGCTTACGAAAAAACAAGCGTATAGATAAAACAAGATCGATCTATGACTTGCATTCCTATTCATGTGTTTCACTGCTCAAAAACAGTAGTTTGTGAGCTAAACAGAATGAAAATCTACAAATTTTTGTCTTTGTTTCTTTAAATATAAAAAAATGCAAAAAGTGCTGAAAAATCACATTAACAAGAAAAGAGCAGATAAAACAGCAGAAACAGCCATTTTTGTATTGCTCCTAAAGGGTTAAAACTCAAAAAGGCAGCAGTCCATGTGCACTGATATGGGAATTGTGGGAAGATACAGACATCCAACATTTTTGTGGATGTATCTGCCGATGCTGATACTGACACAAAAAACATAAAATGTCGGATGCGGGACTACATCTTCCTGTATTACCATTAAAGAGTAATTGTTAATTATTTCTATAGGGTTAAAAAAACACTAAAATGAATAAAACGCAGGCATTTCAGCACAGGACCCCAGCATTGCCTAAATGACCTGCTCTTCCAGAGCACTACTGGTCTTTGCTTGCAACGATTCAGCTTTACTCAAAAAATGCAGCAACTCAAGAAACTAATGTGTGTTTGTCTGGAATCAGCTAATTCAAAAGGAAACTGAACAGGAACCGAGCAAGACACTGTCAGCAGACAAAAGAGCTTCAGGCAACACCACAATCAAAAAAATAATGCAGACAGGAGACTTTTACACTGACGAGTGGTGACTTCTTCTTTTTACTTACCATAAAAAAAAGTCTCTCTTAGAAATCCTATTAACCAGAACAAAGATTTAACTAAGCCACAACAACAAGCATTACTGGTTCTTTTAACGCTAGGAAGATAAATTGTTGACAAGAGTTATGCAGGGTTTGGGACACAGCACTGAGCAACTGAAGAGATCCCATCTCTTTATTGAAGAAGAGGTTTCTTTCTTTAGTTTAGCTATGAGGCTAATGTAACTAATACGTAGTAAAAGCTTCTACCCAAAATTCATAGGTAAAGCTAAGGAAATAATAAGGCAGATAAGGAAAATTGTAGCATATGAGCCCTTTCACAAATCAAAACGGTTTAAGGCAAGTGTGTGATGATTTAGGCATGAAGACTGCATGATGCTAATTGGTGGACAAAAGCTCCCCTAACCTATGAACTACATTAGACTCAAAACTAAAGAAGCAAAACCAAACATGTCTTGGCTGATCAACTACATTTGGGTAAGGGGATAACTGTGCTAATTTGATTTTTCACCACAACCGATTTAAGTACACTGCCTCTAACACTATATCTGATACTAGACCCATGAGGTCTTGAGCAACAGCTGAGCGTTTCAGCAGAAGAGTTCAGGAGAGCGTACCTTCATGACATTAAATAGAACTTCTTGACCCAGGCTGTCCTTCTCCTTGAAAAACTCATGCTCAGGGTACGTCCGTGCAATGTCTCTCCGAATCAGCTTCTCGCAGGGGGATGTCATCTTCAGCAGCTCTGAGTACTGGTCCTTTATGGGCAGATTCTGGGCACTGCATAGCAGCTGCCATACTATTGCCCGGAAGTGATGCGGGATGCCCTTCCTTACTAATTCCTGTATAGAGACAGATAAATACACTGAGGAAAAGGGAAATGATCATGATGTTTTGGCTATTGCTAGTGACAGTAAGCAATAAGCCATGAGAGGCTATACATCCCACTGTGATTTCACCATGGGTAAGGGGTCTTCTTAAAACTGTTCACTGTAACACACAGACTCAAAGAGCTTATGGGTTTTATAAAAAGGCAATGATTAAAAAAAAATAAATATTTTAAGTTAAAATGAATAATAATTGCAATAAACAATTCCTCCACCAAGAATGGTTTAGTTTACAGTTCATTTATGGCAGGCAGACTTTTAAAAGAAGACAAAAACTTTGTCACCTATTACTGAATGTTTCAGTCTTCTAACTTTGTCATATAATGACGAAAATAACCTAACAGTATTTCATGCAGAAACCTTTGTCTTATCAAGTAGCTTTCTCTCACAAAATGACCACTGCAACAATAAAGCTCATTTAACATGGATATCTGAAGCATGTAAGACATTCAATTATTTCCCATTTTGAAGTTTTACAGTGAATAACTCACAAAGCCTGACACCGAATTTTAATGGAGGAGCAGTTTAATCTGTTAGCCATTTTTTAGCCTGTATTTTAACCTAGTTGTTAAGCAAATAAGTTGTCGTCCTCCCAGTTTAAACAAAAGCAGTGCATTCACAGCACAATGGTTTTTAGCAACCTTAAATTCAATCGCTTTGAGGTTTACAACAATTTACAACAATGTCTTTTGCAAGTTTTGAAGGAAGCTCAGCCAGTCAGATTTTAGGACCGAAACTGTTTTTAACTGTTTTATAACTGCTTGTACACCAAATGAGACACTATAGAACAGATAAATAAAGCTAAAGCTATTTGACATGACACCCACTCGCACGTATTTGTGCACGTATGTACACCCACAAATACAGCAACAGAATGAATTTCCCACTCTCCCACATTTCTCATGTCATCGGAAATACAAATTTTAATCCACTCAGCCTACTGCTATTTTCTAAGAGTACCAAATGTACCTCAGTCGTGATAATGCCATTTTATGCTGCTAAATATAATCTGGCCTGGACTTCTTTAGCAGAGCCCCAAGCAGTTCTAGCCCAATATTACTGATGGGACTTAATTAAGCCAGTTCCTCAACCGAGGAAGACAACATACAACTCACGGGATCTACAGCTGGTCATTCCAGTGAGGGGCTGAGACTAGAGTCCACCCACACACAGACACTAACTGCAGAGATCCCCTCAGCGCTGAAGGAAGCCAGCAGACAAGGGTCTTTTGTTAAAACAGTGCCGAAGGAGGCTGTTAGACATGAGTCCTTTGTTAAAGCACACACAGACAACTGGACACACAAGCTTTTTTTCTGGCAAAGGCAGTAGCACCGCATCTTGTCTGATGGTCTTAGATTGAAACTGAACTGTCCTCTAGAATATTATTTTACATAATGTGTGAGATCTCCTTGAAATTAAGGATGTCACATTCTGCACGTGTTTCAACTGTTTATTGCAATATTCATTACTGCAGTAGTGTTTTTATCATATTCACTAATGAATGTATAAGAGCAGAAGTTTTTGTCTTCATTAATTCTTTTTATCCTTCTTTTCTAGAATAGCCATTAGGGCTGGGTATTATCAGCAACTTCACAATATGATACATTATAATGACAAGTGTCACACCAATATGACATAAAACAATACAATACAGTATGATGATACTACAAATACCTACATATCGTTGTTAATGTGCAGCAATTTTTTTAAATGTATTTATTTTCTTTCAGAAAACCTACAATAATAATTAATAGAACAAATAAATCATGTTAGTAATAAAGCTTCTGAGAACTGTATTGCAAGCGTTGTCTGATGTGCTGGTCAGAGCACAAGGCAAAGAAATGAACTTCTTCAGTTTTAATCACAAAGGCTGCAGCACAGGCAGTAGTAGTAGTGGGCGGTTTGGCCAAAAATGTATATTATGGTATAATTAGGATTACTGTATATATCACAGTATAGCCTACAGATATAGTCACTGTCCAAAGAAAAACATGTCCATCTCCATATATTTTCTACAACATTTGAGCTCAGTAGCTACCCATTACATTGCGAGGAAATTTCATGATGAACGAACCAATAAAAATGCTCCAAAATTGCACAGAATAAAATCTATTTACATTAACACCCTCTCCTGTAAACTTACAATTTTGGAGAAATTTCTTTTGTTTTTAACTGTGATATATTAGTAACACACACACACACACACACACACACACACACACACACACACACACAAAATGAAAAAATTAGATATATAATTTCTTTTCCAAATAAAACCTAGTAAACCTATTTTTGTAGATTGACCATTGTGTATTATCGTAGGACGTCCCTTCACTTTAATAAAAACTATATTTTACAACTGACCTTATATTATTTTAATGGACAAAATACTAAATAAAAATGAACATTATATAGACAGATGACGAGATAAAGGTGAGCACACAGCAGCTTCTCTGAGCCGGCAGACACGGTGCTGAATCATTTATTTATTTATTTATTGATTTATTTATTTTAACATCCAAAAGCCATTTGTCTCATGTGTATGTCTCTTACACTCGAGCTTTAATCTACAAGTGTCAA